ATCCCCAGAGACCCGCCCCCACCACATCGCCCCCACCACTGCCACTCAGTCGTCAATGACCCCGTTATTACCCCACCCCCAGGATATCATCATTGGCAGCCAGATCTAATCAAACTCATTGGATCTATGAAGCTGGCCGCTGCATGCGTGAGTCATAGTCGCCAAATTAATTACGGGCTCCATATTTGGATCTTCGATCTTCTCCAACTTGAATTTAATCTTAGTCGTTGCGAAGAAGATGGTCTAGAAGCTCTGGTCTCGATCTTCATCGCCGATTGAGATTCAAGGTTGAAAGGGCATCAGGGGTTGCGTACAAGAATAAGGGAGAAGAAAATGAAAGGAATTACGGTGAAGGTGGGGCAGTAGAGTCATTGTCATCATCAGAAACCCTTAGACATTGCCATCACCTATAGTTGTCGGCGGCGGAGGCATCGTCGAGGACTTGTCATTGTCGCTAGAGCCTTGCCTTCATCGCCGGAGACTTTCCATCGTCAGAGCGTCACAATGAGGTGGAGGTAGTGAATGTTAGAGTGGAGAGAGCATGCAAACAGAATGGGGAGGGAGAGCCGGAGAGGGCTGTTTTTGGTATTTATATGAGGGAATTTATGTCCATCCAGTTCTATTCTCTTTTTTGGTATCTAGAAGTTTGTAGTCTAATTTCTGTCATTTTTTCAAATTGTTTCATAAAAAACCATCCTTTAAGAATAATCATTGCTCACACACTATGCAAAAAGTCTTGGTGTACACCCTGGGGTACACATATATAAGGCCTAATTATTTACAGCTTTTCTTTACCCCTTTCACTCGCACAGCCCTCCCCTCCCCAAAGTTGTGCACGTTTCTTTCTCTTCCCATCCTTCACCCTTGTTCATTCTTTCTTCCCGCCCTTGTCTCTGTTTTTTTATTTTTTGTTGCAAATATCATGGATGATTTTCTACCATATTTGATGGTGGATGAACAGGGGACTGGAAACGACGGAGCATTGGACGATTCCTGCCTGCGACGGACGACGGAGGTCGGAAATGGAAGAAACGAAGAAGCTCTAAGCATCGGAAATGGTGGACCTGTGAACGAACAAGACGGAGCTGCGATGGAGGACCGAAATGGTGGATTTGTGAACGAAGAAGATGGAGCTCCGGACAAAGTTGGGGATGAAGACTTAGGTGCGACGGGTGGTAGAGCTGCGACACAAGGTGGCAACGAAGTTCTGATCTTTGAGGGTCTGGATGATGACAACTTTGACGGGGAAGGAAGTAGCAGGGGGAAGACGAACGCAGATGGCGGAGGTATTTTCTTTGACACACACAGACAGCTTACATACTCAGTGTCGGTGTGTACCGACAATTAATGTATCTATGGTTAATGTATACCTACAAATATGAATTAATGTATGTGTGAATGTTGTTAATGTATACCTACAAAGATGTATTTGATGTATGAATGTTGTTAATGTATACCTATAAAATTGATTTTATCAAAGAATGTTGTTAATATGTACCCTATAATTTAATGTATACCTACAAAGATGAGTGTTGTATCTATGTACAATGAGTTAATGTATGTATGAATGTTGTTAATGTATACTTACAAACAAGTCTTTGATGTATGAATTTTGTTAATGTATACTTATGAAAAATGATCTATGAATATTGTTAATATATACCCTACTACAATAATGTATACCTGCAAATATGATTGTTGTATCTATGAAGTAGTTAATGTAAAATAATTATTTGATTATGTGAACAGATGGAGATAACATTGCTGATGAATGTGAACAAATTCCAAAGATATGCATGGAGTTTCCTACAAAAGATGCAGTTTATGATTTCTACAAAAAGTATGCCAAAAGTGTTGGCTTTCCTGTTAGACACCGCACTTCAAAGAAGGATAAAGAAGGGGACTTGATCGCGTTTGTAGTAGAGTGCTCACGTTCAGGCAACATAGGTAGTAGGTCGAAAAACTGTTTGAAACCTCAACCTTCCATGCAAAATGGTTGCTTAGCGAGAATAAGAGCAAAGACAGATTATGTCGGGTCATGGGTAATATCACAAGTTTTTTTGAACCATAATCATCCTATGAGTCCCACGAAGTCTAGATTATTCCGTTGTAATAGGAAGTTGACAATGAAAATTAGGCACCAAATCGATGTAAATGACGTTGCAGGAATATGTCTTTGTAAAACTTTCAAATCCGCGGTTGTAGAAGCCGGAGGATATGATCAACTTCCTTTCATTGAAAAGGACTGCAGGAACTACATAGAAAAAGTTCGACAACTTAGATTAGGAGATGGGGATGCAATGGTCATCCAAGGTTTTTTTTACAAAAATGCAAGCTCAATGTCCAGGTTTTTTCTTCACGATTGACTTGGATGAAGATTCACGTTTGCGTAATGTTTTTTGGGCGGACAATAGGTGTCGACATGCATACAAGGATTTTGGAGACGTGATTACATTTGATACGACATATCTCACCAACCGCTATGACATGCCTTTTGCACCGTTTGTTGGTGTTAACCATCATGGGCAATCGATGTTATTAGGTTGTGGAATAATTTCTAGTGAGGATACATCAACATTCGTATGGTTGTTCAAAACATGGCTTGAGTGTATGGATGGTTATGCTCCAATGGGGATTATAACTGATCAAGATAGGGCCATGCAAAATGCCATCCAAATCGTTTTCCCAAACACAAGGCACCGATGGTGTCTCTGGCACATAATGAAGAAGTTACCTGAAAAGATGGGTGGACTTGTACATAAAGATGATATCATGACAGCCATACATGATGCCGTTTATGACTCTCAGTACATTACGACCTTTGAGGAAGATTGGAAAGCCATGCTCGAAAGGTACACTCCAATATTCATTAACTAAGTTTCACTTTTTACGTGTCACAGATATATTATGTAATGCACAGACAAAAAGTATCGGTGTAGTTTATTTCATGCGTAGGACCTTCTGCCACTTAACGACACCTTACAGACACTTTTTGCATTTCACAGACAGAAAGTGTCAGTATACCTTATTTCATGCCTGGGACTTTCTGCCACTTAAAGACCCCGTACCGACACTTTGTGAATTTCACAGACAGAAAGTGTCGTTGTACCTTATTTCATGCCTGGGACCTTCTGCCACTTAAAGACACCGTACCAACACTTTGTGAATTTCACAGACAGAAAGTGTCGGTGTACCTTATTTCATGCCTGGGACCTTCTGCCACTTAAAGAGACCGTACCGACACTTTGTGAATTTCACAGACAAAAAGTGTCGGTGTACCTTAGTTCATGCCTGGGACCTTCTGCCACTTTAAGACACCGTACCGACACTTTTTGCATTTCACAGATGGAAAGTGTTGGTGTACCTTTCTTCATGCCTAGGCCCTTCTGCAACAAAAAAAAACCTTGCCGACACGTTTTGCGTTTCACAGACAGAAAATGGTCAGTGTAGCTTAAATGAATTTGTAAAATTCATTTAAATTTTACAGGTTTGCTCTACAAGACAACGATTGGCTTACAACAATGTACAATGAAAGAGCCCGTTGGGTCCCTTGTTATCTTAAGACAACATTTTGGGCAGGCATGTCTACCACACAACGAAGTGAGAGCATGAATGCGTTTTTTGATGATTACGTTAATTCGAAAACATCTCTTAAACAGTTCGTTGAACAATATGGGCGGGCATTGCGAAGTAAAGTCGAACTAGAATTTCAAGCTGATGCAAAGTCATTTTCTAAAAACATTCCATGCATTAGTATCTACGGCATGGAAAAACAAGTTCAAGAACTTTATACCCTTGACAAATTTAAAGAGTTTCAAACTGAAATGGTTGGCAAGCTTTCTTGTGACCTACATAGTGAAGATGGTCTAACATATCACGTGAGCGAGGACAAACAATTGCCGAATGGGTTTGACAAGTGCGTCAACTATGTGGTTGAGTTCAACCGTGAAAGTGGTCATGGCGTGTGTAGTTGCCATTTGTTTGAATTTAGGGGTATCGTGTGTCGTCATTTGGTGGTTGTGCTCCTTCGAAATGGCATCAAAAATATGTTGCCCGACTTTTATATAATGAGAAGGTGGAGAAGAGACGTCAAGAGACAGTACACACGCGTTAAAATCAATTACGACGGTTGGGTGACAACGGTGGAACAAGCTAGATTTCACCAATTATGCAACAATTTTGAAAAACTAGCCAACACCATTGTTGATGATGAGGACAAGTATAACATTGTCATGCAATAGATAGAGGACCAAATAAGTGCAAATACAAGCTCCACCTCTAAATCTTCTATTTTTGGTGTGATGACTGAACTACCTGACACTGTCCCACGGGTAGAGACTGCCCTCACGCAAACCATTCTTGACCCAAAAACTTCCAAGAGAAAGGGTGCACCACGAAAAAACCGCCTTAAGGGACCACTTGAAAAGGGAAAGAAAACCAAAACTGTAAGTTTTTTTTTATACTTATATATGAATATGGATTGTCGTTTCATGTGCACTAACAAATATTTTTCCAATTATTAGGTACGTTCTACCAAACAAAATGGCCAAGCTTCGTCGGTTGTTGAGGTTGGAAATGAGGTCGGAAATTCAAGTGTTCAATATTTAGATTTAGATTTGAATATGACATTGGGTGTGTTGTAATTGCACGTGTAGTGTGCATGTTTTTTGCATGGATATTGTGAATATGACATTGATTGTGCTGTAAATGCACATATAGTGTGTATGTATTTTGCACACCTTTTTGTTTAGGAGCCTATGTTATGCCACAAACAAGTGTATTCCACGATTCATATGGTTCTTGTAATACGCATTCTAATTACTTTTATAGTTTGTTTCACTGTTTGAAGTCGTCATAGTTTTGGTATTATCTAACATTATGTTCCCATTAAAATATTCTTACTTTAAACCGCTTTATAGTGCTAACAATTTTTAATATAGCTAAATAATAATCTAAGACTATGATAATTTTTAGTTACATTTTTATTGAAACTATGAAAATGTTGTAACCTTGTAACCCATGAATTTATTAACAATTGCTTATCCAAAACATGAAAATGTTGACAAAATATGGAAGCATTATAGTTTGGCATTCCAGTGTACAACCTTGTACAAAAAGCGCAACACTATTGTACAAAACATAATGTCAAATACACTAATAATGTCATTTAAACGGTGTCAAACATCAGTCTTCTTTAGACGCCATAGGCGCACCGCAAACTGGCTTCTCATGTCCAACATGTTGTCGTAGTTACATCCGGGTGTCAAAGGATACTCCAATGCCAAATGCTCCGCAAATGCCATCGTCATCACTCCGCACTCCGAACTCCTGAAAAAGCAAATAGTAATATTTACTAAAAACACTTGCATACATTTTGGTTCTATTTTGCATAGCCAATAACATGGGTGAAAAACTAGATACCCTCGTTGTTGCGGTACACCGGGAACTACCTCCGCAGGCCATGGTTTGAACTCATCTGAAACTGCAGCAGACTCGGGGCATTTTATCACACTAAGTAAATACGGTAGTCTGATGCATAGATGATGGGCAGTTGATTTAGATTTGGCACTCCGCAAAGAGTCATACACTCTAACCACCTTCGCTTTAAAGTCAACTTCCGTCAAGATCCAATGTAGGCCATCCACATTCAAAGGAATTAAAACCTATTGACAATGGTATGTAAGAGATGTTTGAATACAGAAACCGTTGGTGCACACAGACAGTTAACAAATGTTTACATACAGAAATTGTTGGTGCACACAGACAATTAACAAATGTTTGAATATAGAAACTGTTGGTGCACACAGTCATTTAACAAATGTTTGAATACATAATCTTTTATTTCATATAATCACCTTTTCAAAACTTGACCAATTAACTCGCGGAAGTAACCTGTCTTCAGCCCAGTGCTTAGCAACATTAATGTCCTTATTCAGAATTTTATACTACATCAAAACAGTACATTAGTGAATGAAATGAAATGTTGGATTGGTATTAACACGTTACACTGGTTCATCATATTGAATAACTAAAATACCGTAAAGTAGGGACCAATGAGGCCAATTTTTTTGTTCACCATAGACTTCTGTATGAGTGAGCAAATCGCGTCTATGTGCTGAAATAATTAAGTAAAAAAGTTACTCTTCAATGAATTCAACTTACATGAATAATGTATTTACCGTACTCACACAATATTTGTAGTCTGGTTACTTACTTCACTCGACAACCACTCCTCCGGTTCAATCAGCTCTCAGACAAACTTGCGGCTCACTTTATTATATCCGTTATAGCAAGTACAACCACGGTTGGTTCTAGGTTGTCATCCTCTTCAACCCATTTGTTCAACTCTAGCCACTCATCATTGCGTATGTCTACAAATGTTGGGCTTGGGTTCGTGTTTTGTAGTTTGGCCCTTTTTCTTGTAGGATCGGTGAATGGGCTACACCGGTACTTAGAGCACTTTCTTTTTCGTCCTTTAAGATTTGCTTTGCGGCATTGCTCTTCAAGCGCCAGGACATCTATTGTAGCCGACCCACCATCTTCATCGACCTCAGCCCAGTCCAAATTTTCAAATGGGGCCTTTGCACTTATTTCATGCAATTTATCGGCACCGAACTACACATTCATAAAATAACTACATACTATCACACCATGCACTTAATTCATACTTTTTGTTTGTGATCGAAATCCTACATTTTTATTTTCAGACCTTCCTTTGAGATATGTACACACTTTATTTTTAGACAACCTCATTCATGGTGTATGTGTACAAATATTTAAGACTAAATACACAAGCTTTACCTCAGAACTGCAGAGCATGAGGTTTGTGAGTGTATGACACTCTTGAGAAAGAGTGTTCACACCAGTATAGGAAGGTCCGTGATCAAGTGGGTGGGTTCCTTCGCCAACAGCCTGAAAATTCACACATGTAGTAACATATTGGTACTCACAAACAATACAAATTGAAACATCAGTGCACACTGACAGTAGTCATAAGTAGCAAATTATACATGCTCACCTCATCCTCTCCACAAAGGGGGATCACACAAGTATGGGAAGCTGCTTGATCGATTGGGGGGTTTCCTTTTCCAACAGGCTGAAACAAAATTTGTATATAAACAACGAAAAATGATTGTAATTTACATGGCTTTAAAAAAAATACACCCCGTAAATACACCTCCTAGATTGTATGATTGAATCAATCTAAATGTATTAATACAAGCCTAGCTAGGTTTGAAAGTGAAACTGGGACAGACATGGCAAACTTTAGTCCTTTAATTTTTTAGTAAACGATACATGGTTACCTCATCCTCTCCAGATAGAGGGTTCACAGAAGTATGAGAATGTCCTTGATCAAGTGAGGAGCTTCCTTCGGGTAAAGCCTGAAAATTCACACAAGTATTAGTTACGGTACTCATAGACAATATAAAGTGAAGCATCAGTGCACACTGACATTAGTAATAAGTAGTAAGGGATACATGGTTACCTCTTTCTCTCCAGATAGGGGGTTCACAGAAGTATGAGAAGGTCCTTGATCAAGTGGGGGGCTTCCTTGGGCAACAGCCTGAAAATTCACACAAGTATTAGTTATGGTACGCACAGACAATATAAACTGAAGCATCGGTGCACACTGACATTAGTAATAAGTAGCAGCGTATACAAGGTTACCTCATTCTCTCCACATATGTAGTAACATATACATGCTTACCTCATCCTCTACAGCAATGGGGTTCACACGAGTATGACAACCTCCTTCATGAACTGGGGGGCTTCCTTCAGCAACAACCTGTAAATTCACAAAAGTATTACTGCCGGTACACAGACAATATAAATTGAAGCATCGGTTCACACTGACATTAGTAAGAAGCAGTAAGTTACACATGTTTACCTCATCCTCTCCAGATAGGGGGTCCGCAGCAGCGTTTTTATCAGATTTTCCAAAGCGTGCAACTACAAGCGCCTTCATTTCAACAACATTGCCTTCAACAACTTTCAACCGAGAGTCCAAACTTTCAATACACAACCTTAGTTTTTTTAATTCTTCCACCACAACCGAATGTCCCAGCGCAGATTCGTCCCGAGCTTCGTCAGCAGACACACTCTCCTAGAGCAAAAAATAACAACATTGAGCAAGGGATTACACAGATTTTGTCTCCATGCAGTGATGTGAGTTAGTATAATTACCTCAAAGAATACTTTTTCTTGAAGCTTTGCAGCGTAAAAATATCGTCAGTTTTCCAGTTAAGCAAGGAACAACCCTCTTCACCAACTTTTGTAGTGGCTAATTTTGCCAAGTCCGGTATATTCTCGTATGCCCAAACCTATAAAAATGGAAAAAGTGGTGATAAATATTTGTTATTAAATATAGTAAGTAGGTGTGTTTAATTTGGATCATACCTGTAACACATGCGGGAAACCATACATCGTATTCTTCATTTTTTCATACGTAGGATCGTCTTTCTTGATGTCCTGAAAAAACTTTGGTTGGCCTACCATTAACGACTTCATGTGAGTCACGGTCGAATTGTATGATTCCAATGCCCAAGGGTACTTCTTGAAACTCTCAAAGTCATCGATCCATTTAAAAATTCTGGGCTTATTTTGGTCCGTTTGTCTCTGGAAAGTAGGACACACTATGTGTAGTACAAAGATGCAAGCTTAACACCGGGTAGTGGATCACCTTTACTTGGAGCCTTGTACTCTTCCATCCTATTCTTCAGCTGCTGATATGTAATTTCATTGTGTCCTTTGAAGAACTTCTTAACAATGGAGTTTTTTTTATCGGTGGACAACTCAGGCCTCTCACCAGTAGATGGTAGTCCAGTTATGCGGACAAAATCATTGAAAGTAAACTTCAAAAGCTTCCCTCGCACACAAAACCACATCTCATCTGCTGGTTGTTGACGCACTAGACGTAACAAGAGCATGTGGATGATCTGGCCAGAGAATTGCATCTCCGGAACATCCAGCAAATGACCCCACAGAGTGTCTTTGAACATGGTGAGCTGCTCCGGTGACAAACGTGCATTCAGCAACTGCGCGGCTTCGGAATACTTGGAGCATAATGAATAAGAGCCTGGGAAATGCTCACTCACGGGAATTTGCAACTGAAGCGCTGATAAGTCCATTTTTTGTACTTATTTTTCTTATCAAATTTAAGCAATTTTTGAATGAAAATAGAAAGAAAAGACACATTTTATATATTTTGGTTCAAGTTTCATGAAATCAGGTAAAAATCACATCCATAATATGTTTACCGGGATTTCGGGTCAATTGAGCACAAAATGTGCCAATATGGGCAACAAATGATATCATACCGAAAGAAGGAAACATTATTTCAAAGTGGTCCAGAAGACAATATTGAAGAGCACAAAACAAGGAACAAGCCGGACAAATAATCTCACAGGCGGCCGAACAGGCGGCCAAAATGGAGGCCTTCGCGGCCGCCTACGGTATTTTTGGAAAGTCAACCTTTGACTTTGACCGAATTTGGAAAAGACCGTAGGCCGCCGACACTGGACAGAAGGCGGCCGCCTACGGTGGCCGCCTGCGGCACAAGGGGACGAAACCAACCACCGGTCGGCCAGACAGGACGGCAGGCGGCCGCCTGCTGGACCGCCTGCGGCGGCCAGGATCCGCCGGGATCCGCCGGGATCCGATCTGCCAACGAAAAGACGGCAGGCGGCCATTTGTGACAGAAGGCGGCCGCCCTCTGTGGCCGCCTACGGCTGACGGAGACCGGCCACCGACGGTCTGCCGGCGACAGGACGGCAGGCGGCCAGAGGCTGCCAGAAGGCGGCCGCCTGCCCGGGCGCCTTCGGGATTTCTTCTGCTATAAAAACCAGGCTTTTTCCTCAACTAAAACACACCTCTTCCAACCCTAAATCAGTTCAAAACACCTTCTTTCTTCCTCCATTTTCGAGCTCCAAAGGGTTTAGAGAGAGAGAAACTTCAATCCTTCATATCTTCTTCATTTTAGCTCCAAATTGTAAGTTCTTTATATGTATTTTCATCTTCTCAATGTGTAGAATCTGAATCTGTGCTTTGTTTCTTCGATCTGTTCTTCGAAAATTCCCAGAATATTTTTCAAGTATTTCGCATTTCCTTCCAAAAATAAAATAAAATAGTTATTGTTGTTGAATTCATTCCAATTAATTATATAGTTGTTCACTAGCCTCAAGGTAGTTAATTATCTGATTAAAGTAAATTTTCACGAACCAGAAGTAATTTTTAATTAATTTTGGTAATTATTTGATATTAGTTCATAATTTAGATTAAATACTAGAAAAAAAAAGAAAAAAATGAGTTCGGCCCTATTTACAGTTTAGTTAACTTAAATATCATTACTAGTAGTTAATATAAAATTTGGTACGAATTTAGAGTATTTTTTTATTTAATTTCGGTAATTACTTTATATTATTGCTTAAATCAAAATAAATACAAAAAAAAAAGAAGAAAAAAAATATTTCGGACATGATTACAGTTTACTCACAGTAATATCACTCCCAGTAGCTAAAAATAAAATTTATAACGAAGTTAGCATATTTTTAGTTGCTTTTTGCATTTTCTAGTTAAAATTGGGAAAGTTATCAATTAGTTGTTAAAATTGGATTTTAGGTTCAAAAATTCGTAAAAAATTCCAGAAAGTTGTATTTTAGTTCCTACAAGTTTATTGTTCCAGAATATAATTTTTGTTTAATTTTTGCTATCATACATGTTTAATTCCTTGTTAATGTTGAATTTAATCATTATATTGTTAATTGTAAAAATGATGATGAGTAGCTAAATTTGTTAGGGCATGAATTGAGAAAAGGAATATGGATTGACTTGTTGACCTAAACTTAGGGGTTAAAATTAATACTTTGGACTAGTTGTTTAAAATGATGAAATAGTAATTAATAATAGTTAGCCATTTTCGTTAATTAAATTCTTGGAAAATTAATTCTAACTTGTCTATGAGATTAGAAATTAATTTAAGCCAACCATATTTGAGCACATTAATAAGGCCTAGAAATAGGATAATTTAATGAAAAGGATTTACATCTTGTCTATGAGAAATAAATTCAATTGCTAAAATAAAGAGTTTAACTAGTTAATGAATTTGGCTATTTTTATTAATTAAAATATTGGAAAATTATTTCTACCTTGTCTATGGGTTTAGAAAATAATTTAAGCCAACCATTTTAAACACATTAATGACACCTAGAAATAGGATAAATTAATGAAGATAGTTTCTATTCTTGTCTATGAGGAAAGAAATTATTAGTCCAACTTTAGTCTTAACTTCCCTAATTAAGAGGTCCAAGAACATATCCATTTATAATTACTCAATTCATTGCCCTTATTTGCATCCTTGAATATTCAATCTTAATACATTAATCTTTAAATTGCCCTTGCTCCTAGTTATAAATTAGCATAATATTGAACAAAATCACTTCCTATATTGAAAAAGCTTCCAACGATTAGCGATAGCCCGTGACTAAAATTAAATTAAGAAACTTCTCCGCCATTCCTCAAGAGACACGACACTCGGGGAAAAACCGAAAGGTTAGACTCCGTTTTACTACAACGCCGCGAAAGCGGTTATCAAGCGCCCTGCAATTTAACATGTTAAACAAAAGTCACAGACAATAATATATAACTCACAAAACCAAGACTCAAAACAAAGAGAAATAGTAACTGAGATAAACAACACTGTAGAAGAAAATTAACCCAACACTGCAAAATTAATCCATTTGCAAATCCAACACTATCAAAACCCTAAGGTCACACAAACATTGCAATTGGAAGTCACACTTCACAAATTCATGATGAACCAACTGCCATTCAACCGATTTCTTCCACAAACATGACTATATTCAACTGAAATTCATACCCAAAACATAAAAAGTGAATAGATGACTTCATACATACCGTTCGGCCATTTCAGACAGTCTGGTTCACGAAGAAGTTCAAAACTCTGAGGTCTACGTCTTCCAACAATGGGGTCTTCTCCTTTCGGTGTTGACAAAAAGCTGGGTTCGGAAGTCGGGATGGAGGAAGCCGAACTCGCGAAGCCTGTTCAGTGGGGATGGAGGAGGAAGCCAGACGTGTTAAGTTTGCCAAATGGGGATGAGGATGAACGGCGAAGGTGTGCGACACTGGGGGTGAGGACGGAGGAGCGGGAAGGGATGCGGGAAAGATGTCGATTTTGGAATGGAGAGGCGATTTGTTTTTTTTAGCTTTTACAGAAGTCTGGGTTTGTGGGGTAAAAAAAAGAAGGGCCTTATATATGGTGTACCCCAGGGTGTACACCAAGACTTTTTGCACACTATGTAACTTTCACTGTCAATTGAAAAAATACCATGTAATTGACAAATTAATTATCCATCACTTGTGGGTATTTGACATACTATCAGTGTCTGAATGGTGCATACCATCCCAAAAAGTGCAGCTTTAGATTCACTTTTTGAAATTCTAAGCTTTAACAATTGTTTATCGAAATTAAATTTTTTACAAGTATTTATATTTGTAAAATTTTACAACGTTTACCAAATGTTTTCATTTTTCCAAATATTTTTTCCAAGACGTGACTTGCAAGTTAAATCCCGGTAAAAGAATTGGGATAGGCCCATTGCCAAAGTGATAGATTCAAAATAGAACAACAAAATTGTTCGAACATGCAATCGTTCGTTTCTATGTGCATTTCTCATTTGTTTTCGTGAAATACACTTGTGCAGAGCTGTAGGATGTCAGGATTACGTATTCATGAAAAAACAATCACTGTGTGATAATAAGGGATATTCTTAGTTCAGTTTTATCGGCTTGAGAGGGAAACCCCTCTCGCTGAATGTAACAAAAATATCTTTGGCTTCTTCAAGCCGAGAAGACTGAACCAGCAAATCTATGAATGAGTTACAAGTATGAGCGTCGGGAAGACACCCATTCACTTCCATGGAGACAAACAAATCCTTAGCTTCATTAAACCTCCCTAATCTACACAAAGCCTCAATAAAAGCCCTGTAAGTATAATTATCAGGCCTCAAGCCCAACCTGGACATGGTCTTGAGAACCCTTTTTCCCTGCTCAATCTCATTCATTCTGCACAAACTTTGAATCAAAGCATTAAAGCACAAAACACCTCCACTCACCTCTCCAATACCTTCCATCTTCTTCAACAGCTCTATTGATCTTCCAACATCTCCTTTGAAACAAAGTGCACGGATTAAGATGTTGTATGTGATTGTATTTGCGGAAACGCCCCATTCTGACATTTCCCTGAAGCATCCAAACGCATCTTCAATCTGGTGTGCCTTACAAAGACCGTTGATTATGGAGGTGAAAGTCAAAACATCTGGTTTAAAACCCTCCCCCAAGAGCAACACCAGAAGCTTCCTGGCCTGTGTTAGGTCCCCTAACTTGCAATACCCATCGATGAGTGTGTTGAAAGTGACGAGATTTGGTCGAATATTACTCTCTCCGTCCTTAAAAAAAAAACATGTCTCAAAAGCTGTATTGTTCCCAAAAGAAAAAGGTGTATGTGATCAAAGGAAACCACTTTTTATATTTATTTATGTAGTTTACCAAAAAGAAGTCTGCAAACAAGTTAAAGGTTTCCAAAATTACAAGATTGTACCTTGAGCAAACAAAACTCCTTTTTAGGGATGGAGGGAGTACTTAAACTCATCATATCATTCAAAGCCTTTGAAGCTCGGTACATCATTTTGTTTGTGCAGAAACTATGAATCAATATATTGTACGAGAATGTGTTTGAAACAAGTCCCGCTTGGAACATTTGATCCACATAAAGATTCCCTTCTTCTACTCTTCCCATTTGGTAAAGAGTTCCAATGAGCAAAAGGTAAGCATCAAACCCTATCTTCAAGCCCCGTTTGTAAAAAACATCTAACAGTTGACAGCTCTCATCAACCTTTAACCTCTTGATTAAACAAATCAAGGTCATGTTAAATGTTTGATTGTCGGGTAAGTATCCCCAAATTAAAGATTTTTTTAAAAAATCAACCGCCACCATTGGCAGGGAATTATCAAAGAGACAACTTATTATAGCATCGCCCACCACCTTAGGGAAAACATGTTCCTTCTTAATCCATCCATATAACATTTCAAAAGCCTCAATCGATGGTAGATGACGAAAAACTCCTCTCACCAAAGCCCTCAATGTAACCTCATTTGGGATCACGTTCCTACTCTTCATTGTCTCGATCATCTGAAAAGCATCTTTTACTCTACTTACATTACAGAAACCATCAATCAAGGACGTATAAGTAAATACATTGGGGTAAAACCCCAATCCCTCCATCTGCTTCACTAACCGAGTTGCTTCTTCCATTAAACCAGCTTTACAAACTCCATGTACGAGAATATTATAAGTAAACCGATCTGGGAAACAACCATCCACCTGCATTTGCTGAAACTTCAGATAAGCCAAGTCTAGTGAATTTGACTGTATTGAGGCCTGGATGACAGCATTATATAACCTGGTAGTAGGATTTAGTCCTAAAAATGAAAGCTGTTCAAGAATCTGAGCAGAATACTTAGCCAGCCCCAATCTTCCCCAACTACCAATCAAAACACAAAACAAATCCTCATTGATTCTATGCCCAGAATTTTGGATATCATGAACTAATCCAGCAGATAACAAGATTGGGCCTTTTCTGTATAGCACATTAGCTAGCACAGAACGAATCTGCTGGTTTTTTGCAAAACTGACGTCGATGTTGGAAACCCATGTATAGAACCTGAGAGTGAGCAATGGGTCTTGTTGATTTTGCAAAACGCTAATGATTGACCGAGGATTCAGGTGTACCCTTTTAGCTCTAAACTCGTGGTTTAAAAGCAGGCACCAGTCCTTTCTTGACAGAATTTGAGAAATGTGTAGAATATCAATGGAGTTTTTAGTGAACTTTTGTGCCCTAGTCCTAGCTCCGATTGAAGATCGAAAGCAACAGGTGGGGTCCGAAAAAGACTTACTTCGACCGGGTTTGCTTGAACCGCGGGGCAGTTCGGAAGCCAAAGAACACAAACTTTGCGCAGATATGGCGGATCTTCTTCCACACAGGAACGATATGGCCATGGGCTATCACAAAAGAGCGTTTACCTGTTCTCCCCTCACTCGTCTGGGCTACGGCTAGGAAGATTTTTTGGCTGTCCCCCCCAAAAAATAGGAAAAAGATTTCAATGGGACTAAAACAATGTCCAAGAATGTAAATAGGACCTCAAACTTTTTAACCTTTAAATAAGACTTATTTTTAACTGAAGGACAAAATCACCCTTGACTTACAAATGACGCTCCCTGCTCATGTTGTTGCAATCATACGGAACATTCATTTACATCGCCAGTAATCAACAACATCGAAACCCATTGTGACCAGTGAATTTCACAATCAAACTTCACTGGAGATGATATCCGCCGATATAGATGGAGCGTCAACAGATCATTTCACGAGGAGTGGTTCACCAACGAGGAGAAGGTGCAAAAGGAGTTGGGTATGGTATTGTGTCGGCCTGATGAAAGCTCCGCTTTTTTATGGTTCTGGAAGAAATTGAAATCACTTGCACAAGTTGTCGCCGGAGCAATCACCTGCACGAGTCCACCCCAATTGGTCACCGAAGATACCCTCCTCCTCCTCCTCCACCTCCACCACCTCCTCCTCCCCCTCCCCCTCCCCCTCCTCCAAATACGTACTCCATACTAAACTTCATCTACTCGCCTCTCAACTTTTGGGGGAGTTTTGTTTTTAGTATTTTTCCTATCACTCCATATCCCTTTTATTTAACTTTTTAATTTTTCCATTTTTTTTACTTTTTCCAACATTGACACGTTTTTTTACATTTTCTGTTTAGTACAATAACCATAAAAAATGACCTTTGACTATTTTTCCCTCTTCAAACATCGACCTATATCATTTTATAAGTAGTTTATCAAGATTTTTTTAAGCGACTTGAATTTTAACATAACTATTTATTTATTATTTAGTTTAGTGCAAATTTCTTGTTAATATTTGAAACATCTTACTTTATATATGAGTATAATTAGATTTGTGTAAGAGACTTGTGTTGGGTTAATGGCCCAGCACATGGGCCGGCCCATTCACCTCGACCAGACGAACGTCTCCCTTGGCGGGGCAGCCCACTCGGACGAACTTCCGTACAAAGACAAGTGGATCAAATCCACAGACAAACGCAACGACGACGAACGTCGCCTCCGGAAGCCACTGTCACTTGGAGCCAATCCAACCCATGTGACAAATCATCTAAGGGCCGGGATACGAACGGCCCATTACCCTTTGCAAATACCACCAGGAGCAGGCCCCCTTATCCGGACTGGACGAACGTCTCCATGACTAGGCGGGAAACCCAGATTCTGGCGAGAAGCGCATTTAATGCCGGAGATTTGGTGGTTGGGACATCAGCCACACACAAGCCTCCACGTCAGCATAGCCAGCTACCCATTGGTAGTATAAATAGCAGCATTTATTTCATTGTAAAGGGTTGGCAACTCACTATTCTTAGCACTCTAGCTTATAGCATTCTTACTCGCAACTCTTCTACTACCTTGTAAGACGAACGGCCGACGAGCCTTAGCAAAAGTATTGTATTGGGGAGTTATTAACTAATTAATAATACCTAATCTCTTACTCGCTACTTACTGTTTCCTAATCCATCTCACTTGTTAGTGGGCTAGTTTATTCACACACCCCACTCGAAACTCTTGGGCTTACGTGTTGGACCCGAGGGTTGAAGGACTACTCAAGCATATCCGGCCGGTCATCCACGTGGAGTGGTTGGCGAATGTGGTGCTAGTCCCGAAGGGCGACACATGGCGGATGTGCGTCGATTATTCGGACCTCAACAAAGCTTGTCCAATGGACCCATACCCTGTGTCGAGGATCGACTTACTGGTGGACGAGAACGCAGGATGCGAGCTGCTCAGCTTCATGGACGCCTTCAGAGGATACCATCAGGTGTTTATGCACCCGGATGACGCAGAGAAAACAGCGTTCGTCATGGTGGACGGCGTGTACTGTTACATAGTCATGTCGTTCGGCCTGAGGAACGTTATGGCCACTTTTCAGAGGATGATCGGGATGTTGTTCAAAGACGTACTGGGGAAAATCATGGAAGCATACGTGAATGACATCCTGATCAAAAGCAAGAGGAAGGAAGATCATGTCCAGGACATGGAAAGGGTCTTCACCATAATGGAGGGGGCCAACATGAGACTGAACCCGAAGAAATGCGCTTTTGCAGTCAAGGGTGGCAAGTTCCTCGGCTACATGATGAGCGAGCGAGGAATCGAGCCTAACCCAGAGAAGGTAAAGGCGATTGTTGACATTGAGCCCCCCAAGAACCTAAAAGACGTACAGAGACTAACCGGACGCCTGGCAGCCCTGAGCCGTTTTATGTCCAAATTGGCCGACAAGACGATTCCCTTTTTTAGATCATGAAGAAGGCGAGTCCCTTCGAATGGACCTCGGAGTGCCAGGCGGCCTTTGAAGATTTCAAAGCATACCTCTCCTATCCGCTCGTCCTCACCAAGGCGGACCCAGGGGAGCAGCTGTACATGTACTTAGCAGTAGAAGACTTGGCAGTGAGTTCCGTCATGCTCAAAGAAGATGAGGGCGTTCAGCGGCCAATATACTTTGTGAGCAAGGCACTGAACGGACCGGAGACACGATACACGTTGATGGAGAAGACGGTCCTCGCCTTGATAGCATCCATCAAGCGCTTGGCGTCGTACTTCCAAGCTCACCCAGTCACAGTCTACACAACCCAGCCCCTCGCTACGGTCCTCAGGAGTCCCATGGCCAGCGGAAGGATCACGAAGTGGTCCCTGACGATCGGCCAATACAACGTGGATTTCAAACCAAGGCCGACGATCAAAGGACATGCACTCGCGGATTTCATTGCTGAATGCACTGCGCGCACCGAGGATAACTCCCAAAACACCAACGACTTCGACAACTGGTGGGAGATGTACACTGATGGAGCCTCGAGTGCGCGAGGCTGTGGCGGAGGAGCGGTGATCACCTCCCCTGAGGGATTCAGGGTCTACTATTCCATGAGGTTCGAGTTCAAGGTCACTAACAACGAGGCTGAGTACGAGGCGCTTATTGCAGGATTAAAATGCGCAAAGGCACTCAGAGCAGCTCGTCTGAAGGTGAGGATGGATAGCCAGCTGGTGGTTACCCAGATGAACGGAAGAGCTGAAGCCAGGGAGGAGAGGATGAAGGTCTATAAGGAGCTGGCGGAGGAGCAAAACCGCGCAGTTTGAACAAGTGGTAATTGAACAGGTATCCCGGGTGGAAATGTCGAGGTTGATATATTGTCAAAGCTAGGTAATCCCCCGTCCGATGACCCGACGACGAACATCCCCCGGCACATCAAGGGATTTGTAAGACATGAGACGCTCCACACACCGGCGACAGAGATGATCCAGATAGAGGCCATCTCCTTGGCCGAATCCAATTGGCTGAAGGAAATCGTGGACTACATTAAAGACGGAACCCTCCCTAAACCCCCAGCCGATGGTAGCATAGGGAAGGCAGCCTGGATTAAGAGGCGTGCCCCGAATTTTCAAATCATTGACAGACAGCTCTACAAAAAGACGTTCGGCGGACCATACTTGAGGTGCCTTCCGCCGAACCTCGCCGCGGCAGTATTAGAAGAAATCAATGAGGGCATCTGCTCGAGTCATCAGGGCCCCAGAACTCTGGCGCGGAAGATCATCCTGCAAGGCTACTACCGACCCACGATCCAACTAGATTGTTACAACCACACTCAGAAGTGTGCGGTGTGCCACCAGTACGCCCCTGTTCCAGGACGGACGGCAAGTTTCTACACCCCGACGACCATCTCCTTGCCTTTTGCGAGATGGGGAATCGACTTGCTGGGACCTCTACCTAAGACGACCGGCGGACGGAAGTTTATCATAGTGGCGATTGATTAGTTCACCAAATGGGTCGAGACCGACCCTCTGACCACTATCACTGAATATCAATGTCAGAGGTTCGTCTGGAAAACCATCATTTGCCGCTTCGGAATCCCGGAGCAGATCATCACTGACAATGGCCGGCAGTTCGTCGGACGCGGTTTCGAAGGGTACTTGGCCAAATGGGGCATCAGGCACTCGAAAGCTTCAGTGGCTTACCCACAAGCCAACGGCCAAGTGGAAAACATGAACCAGACCATCATGGACGAGATCAAGAAGAAATTGGAGGATTATGCGTCCACTTGGCCTGAACAGCTCAACTACATCCTCTGGACGTACAGAACAACCCCAAGGACTGCAACCGGGGAGACGCCCTTCGCCTTGGCTTATGGTTTTCAGGATAAGGTGCCCACTGAAGTGCTAGTGCCCACACACCGCACCAAGCATTACCAACCAGAAGACAACGAGGCCACCCTACGAGCGGAGCTCCACTTCATTGAAGAACGAAGGGACCTAGCAGCTCGTCGCATGGAGGAGTATCACCAGGCCACCCAGAGATACTTCAACAAAGCAGTGAGAATCCGTGAAATTGATGTTGGGGACCTCGTACTACGCAAAAGAGAAAAGAGCAAACCGCTCGAAGGCGGCAAAATGGCCAAAAATTGGGAAGGACCATATAGGGTCCTCCGAAGGCTGAACCAGGCGACGTTCATCCTCCAAACCTTGGAGGGGAATTCTGCTGGAATATGGAACGTAGAGCACTTGAAGACATTCTACCAATGAGCTACTGATAAAAAATTCCCTCCCATAAAAAAGGGAGGAGGGGAGACATAACTCCTGGACGAACGGGAACCCTAGCGGGGTAAACCGGTTCTTCCCCTTACTCGTTGGATGGCGAACGTCTTCTGCCAGAGCAGAAGACTAGTAAGATCACGAGCGTGGGTTGAACGAAGAAAGGGAACCCTAGCGGGGTAAACCAGTTCTTCCCCTTACTCGTTGGATGGCGAACGTCTTCTGCCAGAGCAGAAGACTAGTAAGATCACGAGCGTGGGTTGAACGAAGAAAGGGAACCCTCGCGGGGTAAACCAGTTCTTCCCCTTACTTGTTGGATGGCGAACGTCTTCTGCCAGAGCAGAAGACTAGTAAGATCACGAGCGTGGGTTGAACGAAGAAAGGGAACCCTGGCGGGATAAACCAGTTCTTCCCCTTACTCGTTGGATGGCGAACGTCTTCTGCCAGAGCAGAAGACTAGTAAGATCACGAGCGTGGGTTGAACGAAGAAAAGGAACCCTGGCGGGGTAAACCAGTTATCCCCCTTACTCGTTGAATGGCGAACGTCTTCTGCCAGAGCAGAAGACTAGTAAGATCACGAGCATGGGATGAACGAAGAAAGGGAACCCTGACGGGGTAAACCAGTTCTTCCCCTTACTCGTTGGATGGCGAACGTCTCCTGCCAAAGCAGAAGACTAGTAAGATCGCGAGCGTGGGTTGAACAAAGACAAAAAAGACGCTAAAAAAAAGCTAGACAAGCATGGAGCAAAGAATGGTTTTATTCTTCGGCACTACTGGCCGGAAAGTTACAAATATGAAGTACAATGTAAAAATGATAAGTTAATACAAGTACTAGGCGACGAGCAGAGCTTCAGGAC